ATACAGGCTTCCATTTATTACAGAATTAAGACTGTACAAATAAATGTATCAGAGCTATTCAGCTCAATTCTCCAAGAAACAGAGCTTGTCCCAACACATACCAGAATAAACAGACAATGACACAGTGTATACACAAAACACAGTGAAGTTTTCTACATATGATTATAGTGGCTATTTCTATCAGTTATTAATATCAGTTATACAGATGAAGTTTGGGGTTTTTTTCTTTTTTTTTTTTTAAGTGCTCTGTAAAATAAACAGTCCTAACCTCATTCTGATTACTGTTTTCCATTCAATCATGAAGGAGACCTTCAAACTCACTTGCCCGAGGCACTGAGAAGCTCCAGGTCTTTGACGCTCATGAAAGAAAGATAACGATCACTCTTCAGGGGAGAGAGATCTTATTATACATACCCCGTGGGGTTTTTTTATCCTTTATCAAACTGCACCTTTGTGGGCCTTTAATTTCTTAATGGGTTGTTTATCCTTTACCCCATAATTCATGATGATAAGCTAGATGTCACATAGATACTGTTATGGTGATGAAAAAGTTGTACTGATGAGCCCAGTCAGTGATGTATTTGATTAACTTTTTATATAAATCTTTTTAGACAACTTTCCAAAGACGACAAACCAAGTAAGTTGATAATGTTACAAATGTTTCAGGAGATTAAAATCTAATGCATACCTATAAGTCTGTGAGTACTAACACTTGAAATAAGTAAACATTACCACAGAACTAGGAGGAGATATTAAAGGGATAAAATTCAGTTTATTGTAAAATGAGGGAGCAGAAGTAAACGTATAGAGTGAATGCTGGGACAGTTTTCTCTGCAATGCCTGTAGAATGTAGGCATACAATGGCATGATAGAAAAGACTTGACAGCATGAGTTTTGGAAAGCCGTATTACTTGTTACTCCATTATTCACTAATAAGTTTATTAGGTGATCTCAGAGAAATGCTAATAAAATCTTTGTACAATGCCACCTTTGTTTGTACCATATATGTCTCTCAAGTCAAAGAAATACCGATTTAGACACTTTCTGAGATGTGTTAGGTTACCATGAAACCAGTTTTCATTTGTAATAGCCATAAAACTGAAGTGCAGTATCTCTGGAAATTCCAGGCCTATGAATGAATGTTTATACCCACTTTTTAACAATGCAAAACTCAAATTTCTAGGCATGCAGAACAGTAATGGCCAAGGATGAGAAATAATTTGTCCATTGTAGCCCTTAAACCTATTTGTTTAGAGCTAAACTAGGAAGAGTTGATACTTATTTTAGCAAGTTTTTAGTTATATGAGTAATTCTGTTTTGAGTGAATGGAAAAATTTATATAAGTAAATGTTCACCAGTACATTAGTGTTAACACAGTCCTATTTTGCTTAGTTTCCCATTACAGTGTTTGAATTGCCATAAGCAAAGAGAAATGGAAATTGTGATAAAAGAAAAGTTTATGGTGTCTAATCCTTTTCTCTATTGCTAATCTGGAACATTTCCAAGCTACAGCAAGATAAAACACGACAAGAATCATGAAGTAAAGATTTTGGAGACTTGCGTTCTCTGTCAAATATTTGGCTCATTCCTGAGCCTATTATGCCAGCAATTGAACTAGACAGTGATCTAGTATACCAATGTGCAATATGGATATAATTTGGCATTGCACATTTAAGAATGGACAGTATATTAACAATTCCCTTTTCAAACAACCATAAAAGCTGCACCAACACATTACCTAAAAGGGTACCAGCTACTCAAAATTATCAATATCTTGTACTCTTTGCCTCTTTAGATTACAGTTTTTGAATATTGCAACATCCAAACACCAAATTTGCTCAAACAAATTAAATTTTCACATAGTTTTTGTGAAGTTGATCTGCTATAAAATGTTATCCGTCTTCGGACATTATCATTGCTTACAGAATTGGAAGAAGACCTACCCCAGGGACAGGAATAAAAAGTGTTAGCAATTGAATTGTTGTGGGTTTTTGTTTTCCATGAACAGACACCCTTTCCCTTCAGGACTTGCAGGCCAAACATTTCTAAACTAATTATATTGGTGCTGCAACACAGCATTGCAGGAGTTGGTTTCAACCTTAACCACAAAAAGCCTGCTCCCTCTTTGTATTAATATATAGGTGTAGACTGCCTTTGATTCTTTTCTAGAGTGTCCTCTCCAAGTTACATTTTGTTTGGCATGCAGGATCCTTTGAATACATATTCATAAAAAAATTCTTACTTTGCTTCCATGTCAAATGATTTACACATGCTTAACATGGAAGATGTAGCCATGGTGTAAAATGGCTGCTTGTCAAGTACTTCAGAGATCATTCTAGAATATTACCAGTAATTTTAAGTCTGCTGGCTTATCATTTCAGTCTTTACAATTTTTGTTTGTAAGTTTAAGCACAGGATAGAGACAATTATGCTGTTGAAGTGCTTCATCCAAAATCCCTGTGATAATTAGTCAAATGCTTTACTGAAATCTCATTAAATTACATCAGCAAATGAAACCTGCAGCCTCATTAAGAAAACAGTCTTTTTGCCAGGCTCTATTTTTCTGACTATATACACGTGTGTGTGTGTGTGTGTGTGTGTGTGTATAGCAGAACCACAAGTTAATCAGAATTATCTGTCATCTTTAAAATTTTTTGTTAACTGACTTTTATATTGGCTGTTCCATATTTTGCTTGTGAAGAGTGTGACATTGATAAATTACTATTAACCCTTTTATTCTTTTAAAGTATTGGAAAACTACCAGCTGTACCCTCTTTATGTAAATGTCTTAGTGTTCCAGGAAATTCTGAATATGAACATCGTTAGTGTATACAACTTCTTGACATGTTCATTCAAAAACTCTCTAATGCCAGTTTTGGTTTAGTAACTGAGGTTGAACTGTCCTCCTACATTATCATTTGAATAAAAAACAACTCATTGATGCCATATGACGTAACTACTTCAGCTGTCATCTTCCCAAATGTGCAGAAGTAGCATGTGTGTGTGTGTAAATATGTTTTAACATACAAAGTTTGTCACTAATTATGGTTAAAGCTGACATCATCATTCTTTAATAGGGTCTTCTCACTATTCAGATCATTTTCTATCATCTATACTTAAAATTCTGTTTTCCACATTTTAACTTTGTTGACCATATATATATTTCCCTTATGACCTTTTACTACCCACAGCAATTTTCTACAGTTCCTACTTACAGTGTAAATGTATGGTACCACATTTCCTTCTTCTGTTTCATACATGTTTTCCTTGTAAACTACCCTGGCTTTTCAGCAAATGTATTGCCTAGTTGTGGGATTATGTCTTTGTGGGTATCTGAGCTAACATCCTTAAACGGTTTCCAATTATCATTCTCCTATTTCAGATCACATTCTTTCTCCCAACAGCTTTACCTTATAATGGTATTCGCCTTTATAAAATTAGCCCTTGCAAATCATTAAGTATATATATTGGTTTGGACTTAATTCTGTTTGCACATAACAAATGTGATCAAATCATTATGAGTTATATCTGAGGTATGGCTAATTTTTAGTTCGGTGATCAATTCCTTTTCATCTGACAAGGTCTAATATAGAATTCCCCTGTGTTGGATGCAACACTTTTTGAGTTAGGAAATTGACATTTAAAGTATTTTGAAATGCCAGGTACATTTTAACACAGGCAGCATGAGACCTCCAGCATATGTCACTCAGATTGAAATTCACCACAGTACAACAGTGTTTTCCCTATATATTGTAGGTGGGTAAGACATAGGTCATGATGTTCTCTAGTGTGATTTGATATCAGCTAAGTACCCTGTCAGTTTCTGACTTATCTGTTAGAACATTGACCCATAAACATTCAAGATCATTTGCTTCCGACTGCCATCAACTCAGAGAGAGGTAATGCCATTTTTGAAGTGCTTTCTGTCCACTTGATCCTTCCAAAATACATTATAACAATTGATTTTGACATTGTGGTTTTCCAAGCAGTTTTAGCAATAAGAAATAGGTCAAACCTGTGCTAAAAAAAAATGATCTCTTCTGCAGGTTTCCAACACCAAAAAATAGGCTACTGAAAAACCTCACCTCTTTGTATTCTTCAGCATCCTATTATGTTTCTCTTACAATTTTCATCTGCATTTACAAAAAGTTCATTGGTTCCTTCTCACTATTTCCATTTCTTATAATCTCCCAGATTCCTTAGCTGATCTGTCCCCTGGAAGAGCAGTTTCTTTCTACAATAAATTAAACAGCAGGATCTCATCAACAGAAAGCAACAGAATTTTTCCATTAACCAAAAGCTTTCATGTTATGTCACTTACTTAGCAATTAGGTCTAGACTTTTCTACTTGCTTTTTTCTGTTGCACAAAAGTCCGGAAGGATGTCGGGAAGATCAGAGGTCCTGAAGGAAAAAAGCCTGCTTACAGCAGGTGTTCATCTATAAACTAAGAGACTGCCCACAAACCTTCCTTTAAGTATCATTATGATATTGTCACTGGTTCTTTGCTTGTCAGCTTCAGAAATTCACTTAACTTTGAGACATGCTCCCATTCAGATAAGCTCATTTAGATTTCATTTGAGCTCCAAGAAACCACACAACCACTTGTTAGCTGGAGGACCTGTTAATGTGGAGCACCTCGAGTGGTGCTGATTTCTCACAGCTTCCGCGTTTTCCACGGTCTAAGTCGGACTTTGCGGCCCACCTGGCCCGCAGGCCTCACCCAGAAGCGAGTCACCAGGCTTGCTCCCCACGCCTCGGCGTCCAGCCGCCCCACAGACACCAAGCGCAGAGGTGTCTCACATGGGGGCGGACCGAGGCGGTGACAGGGCCTGGCAGAGGCGGGTTCGGGGAAGACAGCGAGGCGGGAGGCCGGCCCTCAGCACCGCCCACCCCCGTTGCCATGGCGAGGCAGCAAGCGTCCCGGCTACGGGTGGTGGTACCGGGGCCGAAGTCGGCTCGGGAGAAAGGGGCCGCGGCCGTTTGGGGCCACTGGGGGCTCCCTGTGCCCCCCGCTCCTCCCAGGGCGCACACGCCGTCTCGTCCTAGGCGGCGGCGGGAGAGTAACGAAGCCATTAAGCGAAGGGTTTGGAGGGCTCGGCAATGAAGAGCTCATCCTGCAGCAGCAGCACCATGGGTAGAGGTTAGTTCCTCTGCAAAGTTCGGTTAATTCTTTCTTATTTCTTTAAAGCGGCTGAGACCGTACCAGTGTCAAGGACTGAGGGTATGTAGGGTAAGAGGATGGTTAACAGGTGAGGGGAACAAAAAAAGTGTACCTGTTGGTGGCTGGTGAAGGACAGGAAGCGGCAAGAGGAGGCTGTCTTCTGTCACCCACAGCCAGGGCTGGATAGCCACAAAGCCAGAGGAGGTTCAGAACATGGGTCGACTGCCCCAAAACCAAGCGCTGGTCTGGGCTGTGGCCTCATCCTGGCTACTTGGACCAAATTCCATCTATCATGAAAGCTACAGATCTAAAAATAAAATAAAATAAAAATATTATTTGTTTTAATCAATCATATCAGTACTTTCAGTGTAATAAAGAAGCATGGCTGTAAGTCAGTCCTGTTACACTCTGACATCCTTTTGTTTTATGAGGTGCTGGGTAGCAGCAAATAGGTTTGCAAAGGGAGCTGGATGTAGCCATGCCTACTTCCTAGGCTGCTGCCCCTCAGAAATGCTCAGCTTCCAGTTGCATTTATGCAGAAAATGCATGGGAAGAGTTAGGTGGCAGCAAACATGTTTCCTAAAATGTGCCAGGAAAGACCATTGTGATTAACTGGCATTTTACCTTTAGCCTCAATGCATGCTGGAGTAATTCCAGCCTCTGGGGAGATTCACTCCATCATGTGATGAAATATAGCTCTTCTTTAGGAACAAACTGCACTGCCTTGTCTTTTGCTGAAGTCTGTGGTGCTTGATTAAGTAAATGAGATGTGGCTTGGGCCACACATAAAAGGAGTAAGATGGAAAGGGATTAGCAGTCTTTAAATGGTCAGCAACAAAATGTATGTGAGTGTAATAGGACACATTTCAGAAGGATGTGTTGCTGATACCTTCATGTCTCTCCATGATTGTAATTTACTTGTAAAGATTAGAGTTACCTTGGAAATGAGGGAAAACCAGCATTTCACTGTGAAAGCAACTTCCCACTTCTAAAACAAAAATTAAATTGGCATTAGTATGAAGCAGAAATTATTTTTTTTTTTTTGATCCCAAGCTATGAGTTTGAAATAGGAGTCAGGGCAATAGTTTTAATCCTTGTGAGGCAGTATTGGACTCAGGAAACGTCTGCATCTGTGCTTCATGTTAGTGTGAGACCTGTGTGTGCCAGACTGCCTTATAGTATGCTTGATGTCTGTGGGGTAGGAACTGGGAGTGTGTGGGCCAGTGAGGACCTACTGTATGCTCCAACCACGTCCCGTGTGGGTGCAACATGGAGCCTGTGACCTGTGGCATGCCACAAAACACAGCTACCAATTGATAGCTTTTCATGGTTGCAGTGCCTCCACCAGGGCTTTCCAGGGTCTCCTTTCAGCAGTTTATCCCCTCCTTTACTGCACCACAGCTGCAAATGGTCAACTATCCTGCCTTGTCAAATACAACAGTTGCCATTAATATGTTGTCTACCTGCTTTTTCTCACCTAATACCTCAAAACTAAGGATTGTAGAACGCTTTTCATCTTCTCTGGGCTTCAATATTGTTGTTCCGAAGTTTAATTACTATTTCTCACTGAACAGCATCTTCCTAAAAAGAGATTTTCCTTTCTATATTGCTTGTGAATAGAAACCCATCATTCTCTGTAAGAAGTATAATCTTTTATAGTGATGAATTACCCATATGCTTTTATTATATTGAATTTGTTTTTCCATGACACACTTCTGTAAAATGCTGCCTTTAATTGTATGTTAGTTTATTTATAAATAATACTTTTTCTTTCTGTAACAGATGTTAGCATTAGTACTAAGCCCTAAAAGAATGACTTAGGGGAAATATCATATCCTATCATCTTTTCAGTCTCTAATTGTCTACATTATTCCATTCTAAGTAATGCAATTAAAAAATTATTTCACTAAAACCACAGCAAAATATTGCATCACTGGAATGCCTTTTGATCCCAGAAAGGTTAATATGTAAAATATCTGCTAGTCTGATGCTGATCATTCAGAATCAAGTTGGCTCATATCTAACATTTATTCCCTGTAAAATAAATTTCCTTTCACTAAATGTAGCAAATGGTTAAATTCTTCCCCCCTCCTACTATATTCTGTTTTCCCATTCCCATTAAAAGTTTCTGCCTTGAGGCCTACCAGCAGGGCATGCAATACCTACATTAAACCAAATTTAAAAGTAAGGGTGCTCCTGCTGCTAATGTCCTCAGATCACAGACATGCAAAATGAAGGAACTGGCAGCTGAAACTTTAATGGTAGGAAGTGTAGACTGCATACTTGGGGAAAAAACACAGTAGCTCTATATGACAAAAAAGTCTTATTAACATTTATGTACTTCAAAACGACACGCTAGATGATTCTACATAACTGTGGGGCTTTCAGCTTTTGTTTTAAGTAAAACCCTGCATTGTAAGAATAGCATCGCTTACATTTTTTATTCAAAGGATTGTTACTATTATGATTATGTATTATTTTGAATGTTAATACAGTGCCTGTTGTCGCATTGCACACTGTACGTTCAATCATTTCTCCACCTTATGTATTAACTTGAAATATTACTAATACTTGGATGTAGACAGCTTGAGGAAGAACAGGGAATCATGTGCAAGTAAGATTCCTGAATTAGTTGTTCCTGTGCAAACCAAAAGCACTCCGGGGAAAAAGAGAAACCCATTGAAAGAAAAATCATGACCATTCATTCACTTTATGTCCTACTGAAGTAACGCTGAGGCCTGAAAAGATTTGTGTGGAACCTGAGTCCAGTTGCACATGTAATGCACTGGGAAAAAAAGGAAGTTGACTGAGGAGTAGCACAAAAAAAGTATAAGAAACTTTATCATTGTGAAGATATTGTTTCAAGTAACGTGTTTTGTTTGTTTGTTTTAGTTAAAGTGAATGTGCTGCCTCAAGCAATCCTGCAAAGCCCAGGGGAGCATCCCAGGTTCATAAAGCAGACTCTTGGCCCCTCATTAGACTCTGCAAGGTATGTACCTCTTTTTCTTTCAGAATTTATGGTGAACAGCTTCAGTCAGCTAAGGTGACAAATTCTGTTTGGGTTTTTGCAATATTTAAAACTGCAAATATCAGAGGCAAAGAATTTCTCTTTTAGGAAATTTTCATAATTAAAAGAGGGGAAAAACCTAAATAGGAAAAGTGTTCTGTGTAAGGTAGATATCCTAATTTCTCAAAACCCCTTCAACAGCTGCAGGAGGTTAGTTCTGTTTAGCATTGTTATGAATGTAGGTTATTGAAAATGTACTTATTCGGATGAAAAGACAAGATTTTAGTTTTGTTGGGGTTTCTTGTTGTTTTTTTTTTTTTATTCAGGCACAAGATAGTTTTGCATCTCTCAAAATATGATGAATAAAACTAGCTTGAAAAACATTATCCTGTACTTAATAACTGAGTCAACAACAGTGCCAAGCCATCTCCTTGCAAATGCCTACAAGGCTCCCTGTTCCGTTGCACTCATTTCTCATTTTAGTTACTTATATCCATACATTTTTGTCTCCCTTAGTGCATGTTGGTCTGAGCTACTACTCTGCCCTAGTATGGTCCTCTTCCTGGAACTGCCTCCATTTCAGAAATAATTGTGACTAATTTCTTTTTTCTCCTCATTCCCCATGCCCCCTCAATCACCTTAGCCTTTGGCTGAAAAGTCTGCAACATTTCAGAGTTCAGCAGCTGCATGTCCATATCTAAAAGCAGTGAGGATCTAGTAATGTCAAAGCCTTGGGCCCAGTCTCTCGGGTGGGGCTCATACTGCTGTATTCTTTGATAGGAAATTTTGAGAAAACTGGAGTTCAAGTTAACAGAATAGGCAGTGAGGATAGAAAGATTTGTGAGAATCAGTTTGGTCCTTTATGGAACTTTGTTCTGTTCTTTGAGTGAAAAGCCAGGTGTATTAATCATGAAGTTTATTTCCAGGAAAAAAACTCAGTAGTTATCTTTTTGTTGTGTAAACTGGTAACATAAATATTGATAGGAAAGCATGGTGTAAAATGTTAACTCTAGAGTAGGTGTCCATTGGGTTAAATATATTTGTCTTTAATAAATGAGTTATTTAAAATTAAATAGAAGCCAATTTACAGGTGAAGCAGACTTTTTTATAAACCATTTATGAAATACTGTGAGTCATCCTGGAAACACTGAAGAAATAAGGCTAAACCAGTTTGGAAATAGCAAGTGACTACTTCTGGGGGGGAAAGAAACAATGCCTCTTTAGCCAGTGCCATCCTCATCTCATTTCTTTATTAAGAATCAACCTCCAGTTCAAGTCACAGTCCAGTTCTTCACATTAATTAAATTTATTGGTTTTAATTCTCATTGCATATTACAAACCATTTTAAATAATGATTATTCGAGTTGACAAAATTTTCTACCACATATTTTTTCCCATGTATCATCTGCCTGCTTTTTCTGTGTTATTGCTACATTAACATATTTGATAATAACAGCCAGAATGAGATAATTTATTGGTTTTACTAACTTTAAAAAAGGTTATTGCAGAACTTATGTAAACAGTAATTGTTTTGCAATTTCTTGCTTTTGGTTTCCCCAACCCCTTGGCTGTAGTTCTCTTTTAAATTAGAGGGTGTTAGCAAACAGAGCTCAGAAATTTATACCTTGACTATAAGGCAGGTGACATTTTAAATTGTATCTGATTCTAGGGGCTTTCCTCCTGATTGCTTTTTCTTAAAATACGCTTGAGAACATAAAGAAAAGGCATCAAGTTTTCCTTTGTTCCAGTTAGAGATGATTTTTAACTGCAGTGTAGATTAAATTGCAGCAAGCTGATAGTGATGCCTAGGAATTTGTTTGTTGTAGTTGACTGTTTCAGTTTGAGTGTTTGGACACCCCACCCATGTGTTCTCTAAGTGTGTTCTCTAAGTGCACAAAGCTCATTTTTGCAGTCTTAAAGTACGAAGGTCACCAAGTGTTTATTGTGTTGCCTACTGAACACTTCATATTTAATTATCCAGAGTTATTATTTTTCAATTTTTGTATTACCTCATGTAAACCTACTGGATCTTGAAATATGTTTTACATCAGATTAAAATATGCAGTAATTACCTCATCTTCATTAGCCTAATGTATCTTCTTGAATTGTGACTGTTTTGGTGTGAAAATTTTGATATGGATTAAATATTGGTATTGATTATAACTGAATTTTTATGGCAATATCCGTAAGGTGTACATTTTTCATGGTCAGCAGCAGCTCATATGGCTTGTGTTATGTGCAGCTTGAAAGCCTAAGCCTCTGTTTGGTGCAGCAGTAGTAATAAATTCTGGAACAAATTTAAATGTACTGTTTGTGCCAGAAGTTTTTACTATTACATTGTTTTAAATACAGACATGTCAAAATATCTCTACATTGCTTAGCTGTTTTGTTTTCATTTAAATTAACTTCATGAAGTGTCTTTGGTATTCTCAGAGAAATAAGGAGAATGACGCTTATATTAGCTAACATTATGAAAATAATCTAGTCTCATCACTGTAATGAAAGACAGCAGTGTAATACAGAGAGAGAAAGAGGAAAGTAGTAGATTTATGTGGAACACTGATGTTGAATTTCTTTTGTCTTTGAGTGATTAACCAGACAATCTTCATGCTCTTTTAAAGAAGTATAAAAATAAATTCACATTACTTTTATAAATATAATATCCTCCAAAGTCAGGATATCAGAATCTATTCAAGCACACTTTATGGTCAGTAAGTATGTATCATCCTTTAAAATTCTAGGCATCTCTTGTGTATCAGAGTGCGGATGCAAAGAGATGATGGCTCAAGTGAAAGGTGAAATGATGTACAGTTCTAATTTTAAAATTCAATCCATGCATCCTGAAATTTGCTGTTTATTTTGATGCCTTTTGTATTACCCTGTTAGTGGACCGCCTTTTGAAATATGCTGATTGAAGTGTGGAAAGCTGAGAACAGTGTTAAAGGTCTGCATTGCACTGAGGAAAATATTTTGAGTTGGGTTTGGGACATTTTTTGCAGAGGTTTTGTTTTTTTTTTTTTAATTTCAAAAAGATTAAATACAAAATAGATTGCACCATTTTGGCCCATACTGGCAATGCAAAAATGTAATGGTTCTTTAGAAAACAGTTTAAATATGGATGGCTTAATCAATTATTACTGATTTAGCTAATACACAATTTCTTGTAGTTTAGACAGAAAGATGAGGTAACTGGGTCCTAGAAAGCTAATACCAACTCTGTTTTCTTCTAGAAATCAAGATTTGAAATACCTACAGACCAAAAAATTAACAAGATATTTGTATGTGTTTATAGAATGTCTGATATATTACTTTCTCAGTATTTCAGTATTCAGCTCTACTTGGCAATGCTAATATATTATACATGCTGCAGAAGTCTACGTTAGCACCTCACAGTGTTTCTTTTAATTTTTTTCACTTAAATTTAGGATTCATTTGATCAAAGACAAAGACGGCATAGATGATTATTTGGCAAAGAATATCAAAGGACTGTCAAAACAAGAAGCTGCTGCGTAAGTTGGCTTTTTTTGAGCCATTTTAACATACCTAAGTTTATTGTTTCCTTTGTTTCTACTCATCATAATCATTTAAATTTAAAGCTCCCCAGGCCCTACCCTTTTTAGTGGAACTTGGCGTTTAAAATTGAAGTTGATATTAAATAATGATGGTTCATTTCTCCTGATCTTAAATATATCAAAGCATTTAACTCCTCAGTTTTACCAATTTGTATATTTAACAAAGTATTATATCACATTTGTAGCATTGTTGTTAAGATTGTGTCAGTAATTATGTTTGAAATTGTGTTTCTCTTTTTTTTTTCCCCCTTGCTTTTTTTTCCCTGAGCCTCTGTGAGGTATCTCCTCTGGGGTGGAAGCTTTGTATACCGACATACACATTCTTGTAATTTCGAATTACTATTTAGCCAAGCCCAAGTGCTGACTTCTGTAGTGAAGCATTTAATACACCATTAGTTATTTAAAAAAACAGTGAAAGAAAGAAATCTAGATAACTTTTGATTTCTTAGAGCTGAGGTATTTACATTTAGAAGTTACAAGAGACTACAACTGACTTATTCTTCTGGAGTCTTTTAACAGATCTGGGGTTCAGCATCATCAAAATTAATGAAAAAATTCTAAGAAATCTGAATTGCTGGTTGCTTAAGTGAGATGATTTATTTATTTCAATATTTAAATAATAAAAAGATGCATATACAAGGCCTCTAGGCACCATAACAATTAATATTGCAAGATCACCCTTGCAGCATAAAAACATTTTACCAGACAGGAATTCGACCAGTAGTTGCTTGCATAGCATGCTTCTTTTCTCCTTCCTAGCTCAAAAGCGGACTGGCAAACCTTCCCTAAAAACTTTCAGATTAAAATCTAGAAAATTACCAAATTTGAGTTGAGGGGTAATGACTTTAGCAGTGTCCTAAAACCATACAGACAAGACTCAGCCAGCAGACGCCTTTCTCTTTCCTGTAACACATGTCCAATTTGCCTTTATTTTTACAATGGTAACATGATAAAGCTAGTAAGTGTAAGACTGTCAGTACGAAGACTGTAATGTGTCTGGTCTGATGCTCTAGGAAAGCAATCTATTTAAAACAAACTCATACCCCACTTCTTTTATTTGGGTTTTGCCTAGGTTCAAAAATGAAGGACTAAAGATTCACTGAACCAAAATTCAGTGGTAGGATTGGTCAGGACCTTCTCAATATGCCATTCCAGGGTTTGCAAAGTTCAATTTATTCCTTCATTTCTGTATGAGAGACTATCATCATGGTCATGGTCTGTGGGAGAGAGCAGCCTGACAGTGACAGGAAAGTGAGTTAGGAAAGTCCCATGTTACTTCTCTGTGAGTACATGTGGTTGATGTGGGACAGTTAACTTTGATCATGCTGTCGTACTAATTGTGCTAGGTGTCATAGCTGGTTTAAATACTCTCTGCTTAAAGAGAGGGAAACTAAAATTGGTCTGTGACTCAGTCACGTTCTGCATGAGCTGGACCAAAATAAGGAACAGATCCTTCCTGAGCAAATGCTGTGTTGACAAGAGGTCCTGTCCCCTGAATTAGGGGTAGTGTAGTTGCTCTGTGAGGGTAGATGTATCAGACCCCAGGGAGCAAGCATAGAAATAAGTACATTCATTTATTGTCACCCTAGTTCCATGCCAGCTATGCAGTGCTGCTGTAGTCACTACTCTACAGCAATTGTTGCAGAGCAACCTGCCTACCCAGTGACCTGTTTCAGTCTTTTTAGCCCCAGTGGATTTCCACAGTACACACACTGTGGTAGGGACAGAAGCGTTCTCTGTGATTACACAGGAAGTCACTGCTGTTTCAGTAAGGCCTTGGGGCTTCAAAGTTAATTTTACAGATCTGATTTGATCATGTCAGCCTTTTACTGCTATTTAAAAAAAAAAAAACAAACAACAAAAACCAAGCCAACAACAACAAGAAAAACCCACACCCCAAACCCCTTCCTATATGATTTTTCTCTTTAAATCCAAACTCTTAGTCTGGAGATTGTGGAAAAAGAAACCAGCAAGGAAATCCACAATGAAATGAGAATTTTATCATCTGTTCTGCAATACCTACACAAAGTGGGGTGTTTCCTTACTGGTTAGTAATATGCTGTTTTTCAAAGTTATCAAAGCCTCTTGCAAGATTAAACTGGTACATGTATTCTAGTTTATTTCTATGGAGTTTTTTTGAGTACATCTTTTAAAAGACTATGTTCACATTCTTTGTATTTAATTATTCTCAGAATTTTAGCTTTTGATAGTAGCTCAGCAGTTACAAAACTTCTATAGTGTATCATTTACTACTGCTCTTCCATAAACTTGATACACTCATTTGAGAACAAACAAATGGTAACAAGCCACACAATTAAATTAGTACTAGGATAATATCTTTATAAAAAGACTAAATGACCAATTGTAATTTTAAACCAATTTATAAACTAAGGCAATGCCATATCTGTAAATGATCTTACTGAAATCGATGTTATCCTTTCCATGCCTTGGCAGCCAACAGATGTTTTTCTGAAAAAAAAAGAGAGAAATGGCTTATAATATGCTGTGTATTTCTTTAAATAGTTTCCATTCCAAAAGTGGATTATTGCACTTTTATCTTTATATCTGTATTTTTGTTTAATATGGAGGTTGTCAGTCATTTCTCTTTTAAGAGAAATTCTTGTAGCCACACCGCTCCTTAATTTTAAGCACCCTTTTTTTTGTTTGTTTTTGGTGGGGGAGGGGGAGTTGTACATGTTAGGCAGATTTATTACCTCCTAAATAAAGGCATGTATGGCTAGTAGCATATTTATGGAAAAAAAGTAACAATATTTAAATTAAAACTGTCCCCTAAAATTTTGTCCTTCACAATATTCTTTAAAAGTAAGTTAGTTTCTTCAGAGCTGAAGGGAAAAAGGGTTGCAGTTATCCCTCTATTATACAGTATTGTACTTTGTTCCAGACTTCAGCAGACGCAAAAAATTTTGTTGAGTGTGCTTATGTTATAACCTCACTTTTCTGTGAAAAAATTTGGAGATTTTTTCATTTCTCTTCTTTGTCATAATTTTTGTCCCAGGGTGATATAAGAAGAAATAAAACCAGTTCTTAAGAAAGATAGTACTCTAATCCTATTAAAACAGGGTATTGCTTTCGGTTTTTTCATTGATTTTGTTTTGTTTCCTTCTCTAAAATTTTAACTTGAAATAAGAAATGAATGCAGTGAAAGCAGCTGGAAATGGAAAAAAGTAAAGGTTACATTAATGCAGCATGTGACTGCTTTCCTGCTACAGCATTAGGCTTTTGTAAGCTTATGAGGAGTTTGGCTGACTTCACCGGCCTCCAGTGAGCCTTCCGTGATACTTTCGGTTCCTAGCCTTGACTCACCAAATCATTAATGCCTCAAAACTGGGTTGCCAGAAAAACCAAGTAACAGCTCTTTAATCTTCAAATCAATGAAAATTGTCCAAATATGACCATATCATCAAAACAGAGTTAAAGACTAGAAAAAGAGATTTTGAAACCTTTTTTTCATGAAAGGAGCAGCTCTGTTTAATATTAACAAAAAAAAGCAAAAAAAAAAACAAAAAAACCCACACCCATTCATGATGCTCCTAGATGTATTTCTGTGATTGGATGATGCAGTTCTAGTATCTTCAGTCAAGACCCCTTGGTAATCAGATGACATCTGAATTATTTTCCAGAGACCATATGGCTTGACCTAGGTATGCAGAAAATTTGTGTTTGCATTTTCTGTCTTCTGAGTGGTGGGTCAGTGTGTTATTGCCTTGATAAATTTGTGTCAGTAAAGACAGGCTCTGATATGACAGTTTTAGTCAGGAGATGAGATTATTTTATATGCATTCAATCAGATGTTTTTTGAGATAGAGTAGCTTGTTCTGCTTAGAATACACCAGAAAGCTAGTCCTTCTCAAGATCACCTGAAACACAAAATGGCAAAAGCTTTCACCCTCAGGTGGGCTGTATCTCCCAGAGCAATTGCCAGGTATCTGAGCTAATACTGGGAAGATCAGCCATTAAACTAGTTTGCAGATTGTATAGCGACAACTGGAATATAATGTTTTTGCTCTAGGAGCAAATGGTTGAATATAGTAGCAACCCTTTGCTTCCATAAATTGTTGTCCTTCTCTTCAGATAAAGGGATTTTAATCTGAATTTAGCTGATACAGAGGACTAGGTTAATCACCACATATAATCAATTTAAATAATTAAGAATAAGTACTTTGATTAGTTAAACCCAATCTTTTAGGATTTACAAAACTGCTTGAGAACAGGGTGGATTATACTTTTGAAGCACCTGTTCCATAGCTTACATAGAGAATTTAAGGTTACCAGCTCAAGAGTAAACATGTAAATATACTATTAAGTCCTACACTGGAGAACTATTGGATTTTGAAAGTTGTAAAAAGGACCAGGTAGAAGTCTTAGAGTTGTGTTCACTACTTCCTGCAGTAGCATTTCTACAAGAACCTGGCAAGTCCAGGACAAAAGTGACCTGGCATCTATTTTACAACTTCTGTTTGTGCCATCTGCTAGAAGATTATTTTTCCATTCTTCAGTGAGAGAATGAAAAGGGGTAAATTCATTACTTCCCCCCCACCCACCCCCACCCCCCCAAGTTTCTGCTGTTTTCAGTGTCAGTATCAGCTACATACAGTTAAGGAAAAAAGATGCTGGAAAATAAACGAGTGAGTAATTGTGAGTACTCAAGATAAATTTGTGGAAATAAAAGATTTCTTTCCTACATCCTTACTTCTACTACCAATTTGGCTTTGAATATTCAACCTCATCTGTCCTCCAAGACTGCAGGAAAAAACCTCCTCACTTGATTAGAGGCCAGAATGATTCAGAGAGTCCACTGCAGGAGAAGAATGGGGTTTGTGGGCTGGTGGAGAAGAGGAGGACTAGCTTGAAGGGTGTCCTGTTCCTTATTTTCATCGTAGCCATGTGTCCTGGGTTCAGCCAGACTAGTAAACCCT